CATGGATAGCTTATGTAAAAGAAAGATCGGTACTTCATATGCTTATGCAGCCCCCAAACCATTGCAACCTCCTCCCTGTGACTTCTGTGCAGTATAAAGAAATCATATTTCCTACTATGAATACCTTGGAGGATATTTGAACAATTGCTGTTGCCCGATCCGCTCTGTCACGGCCATCTTTCCACCCAACCTTTGAGTTTGGACGTTCAGAACCGCCATAAAGACTTAAATATATTTAGTTGGATCTGTTTTAAGTGAATAGTTTCAAGGCTAACAACACAAAAACACTGAATCCGTCAACATGTTAGCTTGTTGCACAACGTTAGCTTCACTTCAGCTGTCCCTCCTCCGCTCCATGAGTGGAGAGACTAAATGGTGGCAGTGTCTGAAAGTATTTGATCCTCACACCTCCCCGACTCACAACGCTGAAAGTAGTGCTCGGCGATAATGAGTTTGGGGAGATTTTTATAAAGCAGCGGCGCTAATCATTTAGCATGCACTGCTGTATGCAGGGGACATCATAGAGCTGCAACTGATGGAAAGTGCACTGTACCAGGATACCAACGATCTCTCTGTGGAGACGTTTTAATCGATTTCATATCCTCATATGGCACAATCCTAAATTTGAATGTTTCAAAATTATACAATAGTTATGAGTAAATATACTCCACAACTAGTCTCTCACATAATCCTGCATAGCGTATTTGGCAAAGCAGATTAGTTCGTGTTTTTTGTGGGAAATGCGGTTGTTCATTTTAACATAAACTCTGCTATTTGTCATATTTCTGTTTTTCATGGGCAGAATATGAAATCAGTGATTTAAAAATGTCTTATCACAGCACTACCAGCTGATGGAGGATCAGTATTCAGGTGAGGAAAACAACAAAAGTCTGTCGGCTTCTGCCTGCGTTCGTGTTGCCACAGCTCACTCTCTGTCTCCATGGATCCTGAGGGATTAATGAAACTGGCTTCTCTTCTCTGCACCAAAGAAAACAGGAGTGCACTTCTCTAGCTCCTCAAACAGCATCTCCCTCCTCCTCCTCCTCCTCCTCCTCCTCCCCTCTCCCCTTGCAGGTGGCCCCGTTCGGTACTTTGAGCGAGGCTGCAGGGCCACAGGGAGGAATTCACATGTAAATAGGCCACTCGCTCTCAATAGACTCGGGGAGGAAAAATGAATCCCGTCATGATAACCTCGCATAATAAACAGGCCAGGAGCATGCATATATTGCGATGTCTTCTTTTAAAGTACACAATGGGATTAATCTCCAAACTCAGCAGAATGAGAGAACCCTCTGGGGGTGGATTTATGGGAAAGTGAACATTACTGTGTCCTGGGCCATGCAGTAAAAAGAGCTTTATGGTACGCCTTTTTAAATATACCTCCCTTTACGCCAGAACATGCCTTTAACCTTTCAAAGGAAGATTTCCGAGAATTCTTGCGTCTGAGCATGCATGTGAGTGTTAACAGTGCAGCCCAGGGTTCAAGGTCAGGAAAAGGCATTTACACATTGCCTCGCACATACAAACCCACATGCATGCACTCGTGTTCAGCTTCCCTTTTATCTCTTACTTACTTTAACCTTGGCAAGGATCATTTACACTTCAATGCACCTCATGGAGCGCCACAGTCCCGCCATGCTTTCTTTGCTCAATGTCATTTCTCCTTGTGATCCTTTGATGGAAAGAGAATTATTTCAGCAACAACTACAGCTCTAGCTTTGACACCTTTGTGGCTAAAACTCACGGGATACGTTGTTTTTTATTGCTACTAAGGATACTTTAGCTACTTGTGAGACGCGGATATCAACATTCTTTGACTTCTACTTCACAATAAGTTGCAGTTCCCAACATTACATCTGTGCTTTCTAACTCCTGGCAAACATATTCCGTGTCAGAGTGAGAGTCTGACCTACTGTCTCCACACACCCACAGCTTGCATAAAGTTCTTGCCTTTGAAATCCAAGCTTATGCTACCGATTAGCATTTATTCATAGTGTCACTTTGGCTGAAAAGGGTGCATGTATTGAAGGAGTGCCTTGCATTGAAAGCGTGAGTTGTTATTTTGGGCATCCATGGTTCAGTCAGTAGCTTCCAAGGCATGTATGAATATGAGATTCTCCTGGTTGATGCACCAAAACATGTTAGAAAAACATCGTTGTTTTTGACAAACAGTACTGTAAAAGCCGTTGCCCTCAAAGGGGAAGTCCATCTGCGTTCTTTTCCATTTTATTTTATTTTAGCCACCTAAAAAAAAGGCCCCACCTTCAACGCTGTACACTGTATGTAGAATATCATCATCGCTTTATGTCGCCATCGAACGGCCTTTTCCGAAGAGGAACTGAAACCGTGATATCACGGTCATGGAGCCACCACTCAAAATAGTCATCTTACTTTCTTGTCTACCGCTGCATCAGTTTGTTTGTGTCATTGTGAGACTTCTGGATCCGAACTAACGAGGCCTCAAAAGCAGTATATTGCTTAACTTCCGTGCCAGTACTGAGGATATAATGTGTAAATATATGTAGAATTTCATCCTGCAGAAACCTACGTCAGGTCATATGGGGAAAAGTTTTTAGAATGGCTTGGGAAAATAGCATTATGATGCAAAAACATACGTACTCTTCCCAAAATTGTTTAGATATATGTATTTGAATACATAAGGAACACCACTGGGGAAGCTACAGTCATATAAACCTTCAAAAAACAAAAAAGTAATGTACCCGCCCTTTAAAAACATGAGTCAACTACGACTCCCGAGAAGCATCTCAGAAAGAAAACATTGTGGTGCTTTTTATCCTCAAATGCAACAACACTTTCTGAATTTGCCGCATCTTGTAAGGCAACAGTGGCTGAGGCTCATGGGTATTGTAGTATTTACAGCCACCTGCTACATGGCAAACATATTGTCTTAGAATTGAAGTTGAAATAATGAAGACAAATAGAAACTATCGTTCAGTTATCCATGAGACTTCTTGATATCGCGTGTTACAGTATGCTGAGAGTGTTTCCAGGGTGTGTCTGTGTTGACGATCACTGAGGATGTCATTAAAGGAATTTACAGTGCGGGGAAGATTCCCTCTGAACCAGTGGCTCCTCTCAGCTCTGTCAAATGCTGCAGAGGGACGTCATCGCTCTACAAACCCACAAGGTAGAACATTATGTACAATATTCAGCTGTGTTTGCCGCCCAACCCGGACAGTAAACTGTCAAACCTGATCCTGCCTCAGGCGTGTCTCCAGTGCAGCACACTAATAGCAGTAATGGGAAGGAATTCTCGCACGGATGAGCTCCTCCAAATAAGACATGGAGGACACTGCAGTGAGCTTTTAATTTGTGCTGGCTAGAGCGCCTTCGTGCCAAGCGCACCATCCGAGGTTAACGGGTTAACGCACGGTCCCCGGACAACAGATTTATTCACCCGAAATCAAAACTTTACAAGAACGAGGCTAAAAGGCTGAGAAAGAGGATTGAACACGACGGAGCTCTTTCTGCATTTCCTCTCTCCTTATTGTTTTAGACATTAAACCGAGTCAGGAAAAGACAGGTAACATGCGTTTTGATTTACAGAGCCAATAAACAGCAAATCCCCCGGGTGAGGGCCTCAGCAGATCAAAAGAAATGGCCTGAAGTACAAACAAGGCGAAGCAGGAAATTACATATTAATTGATTTACACACACACACACACACACACACACAGACACGCACGCAGCAAGCTGACGTGGTTTTCTGAGAAAAAGGAAGCAGAATCTGGAAAAGTGTGAATGTGCCTTTGCCCTTTGAGTTTCCTTCCTTAGCAAACAAGTTGGGAAGAGGCACCGGGCTTCCCAAAACATGATTCATCAGCTTTTGACAAAAGAAATGGGGCATTCTGGGAGTCAAATATCCAGCCAGGACACTTTGGTGTCATCTTCCTCACTCATGACCCCACCTCTGCTTTTAACTGTCCGATGAAGTCGTAAAAAAGCCACAACACATTCAGTTAAATTCTGCGGTAGCTCGAGTCATAAAAATGTGAAAATGAATGCTAATGACGGGTAGTTTTCTTTTTCCAAACACAACAGTCCCCCTGAGACACAGCATCAAAACCCCCACATCAAGGTCACCATCACCACATCTAACTGCAGCGGATATTTATGCAGTCAGAGGAGCACGTTTGGTGATCCGGCCTGTGAGCAGCGCTGATCTCTGCATCACAGAGTTATTTTAGAAAGCCAGCTGCTGCACCGGGCTGTCGGGCTGTACACTCATTAATTGTTTCAAAGGAATGGGGGGGAGCTAGTGGTGTTAAGACACTGGGCTGCACATCCAGCCAGCTCAGTCCACAAATACTTCAGTCTCCTGCCCGAGCCTGTTGCACTGGATTCGGCCTCCAGACTGCCCCGACAACATTTTCAAGTCCTGATGACGGCCTACCTGAGCATCTCTTAACCTTTTACACTGCAGCAGCCAAGAGGGGAAAGACTATTTTCATTTTTTTTAATGCGCGTGATGTCGCACCATCTGTATAATATGTCTGTAGAAAGTTAGCTCCTTAGACGACTTATGTTTAGTGAGAAATGAAAGCTACAGTTTGATCAAAGGAATGTCAAAGTTTCCATTACAGACGATTCAGAGCTCCTCCATTTATAATGGACCTTCAGGTTTTTGGGTGTGTTGCTGTGTCAACAACAATCATTGCGCAAGTTGGTATGAACTGAAACCGAGGACATTCTTTAAAGTGATAATTAGATCAAAGGTCGACTGAGCAAAGCATGCGTTTTGGATCACGTCTACATATGACAGAACCACTGGTTCTGTAACGCGAGCTGTGCAGCATCTCCTCTGGGGGAACCGGTGGTTAAAAGCCTCGTTAGAAGACAAGTTTACAGATGTTTTCACTAATTGCTCGTTTCGTCTAAACCCGAATGAATGGAAGGTTACAATCCTGAACGTCTTTGAGAAAACACAAACCCTTGAACAACAGAGTGGACATAATAACACCCTCCATAACACCGTCAACAATGCTCTAAATATGTTTTATTAAGCAAAAACACAATGCATAACCTGTCTAATGACAACGTGGCCAATGTGGACCAACTACAGTTGCATTTTGCCCAAACATTTCTGTAAAATCCAACACAATATGCTCTATTTAGAAACTGTAAACTTCATACGAAGAGATACTCTAAAGTGCTTTTTTAAAAAGATATATAAGACAGCAAGCAAATCGATAATAATTCAATAATGCATGGTAATACTTTTCTTTCACAAAGAAAGTCCAGTGTAAAAAATGAACCAGATATAATAACGTAAGGAACAGTCAAATCAAACGGATGTTTTGTTGCTCCTCTGGTGTAACAACGTTCAATCATTTACCAAATAAACCTTCAACTATTTGTCTTAAATTACTTTTCTTGGTAATGTTGTTTGGAACAGTCGTTCATGAAACATCCTTAACTTCCATCACCCCTCCAGACCACAAACCCTCTGTGCTTTTTAATCCGCATAAACTCTTTATAGCATAGCCACACTTGTCTGAAACTTTCCCATCTTCATACTGTATTCCTTTAACTGTCACTTCCTGATCACCAGCATCGTCACATGACCTGGAGCTTTAGGACTGATAAAACTCAGCATTTTGAATGTGGACCTGCAGTGGACATGTCTGTGTCCACCCAGGAGAATATCCTTTTGTTTCCTTCACATATAAACAGCAGGCGAGTCTGTATCACGACAAGTCTATCTCTTTTTTCTCTGCTGCCGCAGCGCCTTCCTTCTTTTCAGGATCATGTCATGGAGTCGGTCCAGGCCCTCCCTGAGTCCGTCCCCGATGATGGCGCAGGTCGGCTGCAGGTGCCAGGGAGTAGCTGGGCCCAGTTCTTTCAGCGCCAGCAACTTCTCAATCTCAGCGAGTCCCAAAGACTTTCTCAAGTCCTGCTTGTTGGCTACCACCAGCAGGGGCACCCCTTGGTTCTCGGAGGTCTTGGCGATTTTGTGGAGCTCCGTCTTGGCCTCCTCCATGCGCTCCGCGTCCACGGAGTCCACCACGAATATGATGCCGTCCGTGCATCGCGTGTACGACTTCCACAGGGGCCGCAGCTTCTCCTGGCCGCCCACGTCCCAGAAGTGGAACGTCACGGTCCGGTGGTCGCCCAGGGACACTTTCACCTTCTCCGCGTTGAAACCTCTGGTGGGCACCGTGTTCACAAACTCGTTGAACTGCAGTCGGTACAGCACGGTGGTCTTGCCCGCCGAGTCCAGGCCGAGGATGGCGATGTGAAACGACTGGAAGCACGGGACGTTGGATAGGAAGCTGGGTTGTTCAGACAATCCATTCCCCATCTTTCCTCATGAGGAAGGATTGGCGGTTTTGGGAGGTGTGATCCAATTCCAGTACGGCAATAATCCTCAGAACTGCTGACATTCCAAAACGACTGCAGCGATTACCTGAAAGCAAACTGCAAGTGTTATTGTGGCTGAAACACAAGACAGCACTTAGAACAAGACTGTGCAACTTTGACTGAACAGCAACTGTGGCCACAAGCGGCAATTACAGGATTACAGCACATTTAATTCCTATGACAGAATATGTTGATTTTTTTAAAGTGCGGCTGCATTTTAGGGTTGTTTACTTGTGCAGTTACAAAGTTGTTCTTTGAGAAATGAGCATGAATGATGGGCGTATTCATTTTTCATGTCAGTCAAAGTCCACAGTAGTGCGTCACCTGCTACAAAAACCATCCTTTACGACCATGATAAGACTTGAGCAGAATACTATATCTACTCTGATATCACAATGACATTATATTAATATATATATATATATATCCCGGCTGTAAAGGATCCAATACACCATGCCAGAAAATGACTTTCAAGTTACACAACGAAGCCACCATATTGTTCTAAGTTTAATGAATTCATCTCATAGGGTTTCACTTAACATTCCTACAGAGGGCCTGTGTTTCACTGTCATGTTTAGTAAAGTACTACATCCTTAACTGTGATTAAAAAAAGGGAGTTTAGCCTCCGACGGCTCGGTATTTAATCTGGATGTTACATTGCAGGTTTTAACAAGTATCTACACGACAGGTGCAATATTTTAAGACCAGTCCAGAATTGTCTACCTACCAGTCTGAGCCATCTGTAGAGAAAACATGCAACATAATCTCTATCTCTCTCTCTCTCTCTCTCACACACACACACACACACACACACACACACACACACACACGGTCCTCTCCGGCGTCTAAACAGCCTAAATTCAACTCACGTTGTATTTCCACCTCTTGTGTCGCAACGACGACAGAAAAATCCTTCCTTCAGAAGCGGAGAGACACCCTGCCTGCCTGCCTGCCTGCCTGTCTGTCTGTCTGTCCTCTCGGTGTCCCAGTGTGGCTCTACCGCCGATGACACCGCTAGTCTGGGATCAACGCCCACACGAAACACTGCGGACGCGCACGATTGGCGCGTGCACTCCGTTCTCTGCCAGCCGATTGGCTAAGACGGCTGTCAATCACGCGTCTTGCCCGGGAACCAGGATCACCTGTTGCTCCGTCACACCACTTTTCTTTTTTTTTACTGTTTCCATTAATAATTCATCGTTATTGATCTGAACACAGACTGTAAGCTAGCCGATGCGTTTTAAATATGTGTTTAATAAAATGAAAACGACTTGAGAGGAGACAGTGGTACATTTAACTTAGAAGTTGAGTGTGTATCCGCTTTAAAATGTCTAGAAATGTCACTTTTTACGTTTTGCTGACGTAAAACCACCAAGTTGCAGACACTGAAGTTTTGACAAAATGTTCCTCCACATTACACTTCTAAATAGTCTACAGGCTTGAGGCTTCAACATTACTACTATGGTATTGTTTGTGACATATATTAAAACCACACATGCGGACATCCAGGTAGCATTTAAAACACACGTGGTTGTAAAGTTGAAACGTTAAAAAGTGAAATTTGAACATACCGTAGACTCAGCTCGGTGGGTCGGCGTGTTTTCCCTTTTTCTGTTCGTTTGTGTGTGTATGGAGAGGGAGGGGTGTGTGTGTGTGTGTGTGTGTGTGTGCAGAAACAGCGCCGCCCCATTCGTCCGCGTGTTTTTGTTTAAAATGATTGGCCGGAGAAGAAGCAGGACAAGCAGCAGCACTTCTCACTGCAGCCACTACAACCCACCGTGCATGGAGGACAACAAACACCAGCTGGTCTTCATTTTTATGTTTATTCTCACAGTGAGACAAAAAAGACATCAGGAAGAAGTAATCACTAGTGTAGAAATACCACTCACACACATTTTACTTAAAGGTCCTACAGTATTGGCATCAACGTATACTATAAATGGCCCCAGAGTAAGAATAATAGTATTCTTACTCTGGGGCATCCAGCATTGATTTGACAGTCTCTGATTAAACTGATTGTTTTCCAAAGACTTCTTTTGTGTTGGTTGACTATTTGTGTTTTTGTGCCACTTTGGCACAGCGCAGTAAAGAACACCCGCACCAGTAAGTATCTCTATTAGCATGAGATGGAAGCTTTCATTGCATCGTTTGGTATTGCAAAGGATCACATGGGATTAAAATAAGAGAAACACATGGCGGCCTGTGAGGTCATGTGGTTTGATATTCTTTTCATTTTTATATTTAGTCTGCGAGTTATGCACGTCGTCACAGATGACTCGGTGAACACATATGTGCAGCTATTTCAGATATGCTTCAGAACACGTGCGGACTTCACATGTTTCTCATTCTCGGGGTACGGAATGAGCAGCTGTCAGTGGACCAGTGGGCTCCGTAATGTGGCCTTCATGACACCAACAGTCGCTGCATGTCTTCCTCCATCAGATTAAATATGTCACTTCTATTTAGTCCTTTTCACAACGTCACAACTCAACATTAGCAAACTGTAACTTCTACAGTAGAGGGACAATGTTCATACATATATTTCATTTAAACTTTATTGATATTGATCCAAACCTTTTCCTTCAAGATAGTAAAAACACATTCAGATGAATTAAAAAACACAATATGCGTTGGGAAATGGCTTTAAGTCAATATTTTATCGATCTGAAATGTAGTAAATTGTCTAAAACGTGACATGGACTTTAAAGATATATATATATATATATATATATATATATATATATATATATATATA